TGTGTGTGTGTGGTATGGAGTGAAAGAAAGGGGTTTGACAACATAGTCTCATTACACTTGAAATAAAATGCATATTTGAAACTCTGAATTATTAGTTAATTTGGTGAAATTAAATTGAAAAGGCTGTGTATGATAAGTTGGAAATTTAGGCCCTTCAGGTTATTGATATCTGTAATTTCTATTGCATAAATGATAATGATATAATGTTAATCAGATTTGTTAATTGTTAAACATTTACATTTTTAAGAAATATTTGATGGCTAAAACAAATTCCTATATTGTATTTATTTGAAATTAATATTTTTATTGTCTCAACTGTAATAAACCATGGTCTCTTAGAATTTTGAATTATTTAATAATTAACTTAATAAAAATGACAAAGACTTTGACATGGTTTGACTTAAAAGGGCACAGTGTAAAAAATATTGTTAGTTTGACTTAAAGTAAGTAACCTGGTTGCCTTAAAATTTTAAGTTGATTGAACTGGAAAAAAGTGAGTTAATACAACGAAGGAGATTAATTTAATCATCAGAAACTCAAAATAATAAGTTATCTCAACTAAATAAATTATTTAAGTTGATTTGACAAAAGAAAAAAGAACAAATCTTGAAAATATTTTTTACAGTCTAAAATTTGCAATTTTTTTTATTTATTGTTAATCTAGTACAGTTAATATAACCATAATATTAGTAGAATTCCATATTGTTACTATGCATTTAAATGAATATTTTCCCATCTTAATTCTGAGCCCTAAAATATTCCTTCATGTACTTGTATGACAAGGCAATTCAGACCACAGTGGCAGCCATAAATATATCCATTCTGTGACAGCGCTGGGGTAAAACAACAGAGGACAAACACACATACACACAGATGAGCTCTCCGCTCATCAGACAAACCGCACACGCACACACACACACAGTCACACACGCTGACCACCGCACAGCCAGTAGCTCCCTCTGTTGACCACTGCTGAACTGCAGACTGAAGGGCTCTCCCGGCACACAGCTGCCAACCTGCCTTTGTGTCCCCATCAAGACGCAATACAAGAGCACTGCAGCACTCTCATATGACAGGCACAAAAACACACACACTTTTCAGTCTATTTTCTCTTGCCAGGGACATTGAGTTTCTGAGTTTGAGGAAGCAATAATTTTTCGATTTGGAGCTTTGCTTGATAACAGCACGTTTAGGAATCTATGCAAGTGCAAGTTGTCACGTGGTGACTTAAACTGTGCTATCACACAAATACACAATCAGTCAGACATTATTCATCACAAAAAAATTAAAAACACAAGCTATATATGTATGTGTAATACTTAAGTAATATATATATATAATAAATATATATATATATATATATATATATATATATATGTATATATATATTATATAAAAAATGTAATATATTTAATAAAGTAACAGATATATATATGTATGTGTGTGTGTGTGTGTGTGTGTGTGTTTACCTATTACTCTTAAATGAACATGAATATAAAACATTAGATTTATGCTGCATTTTTTTGTTTTGTTTGTGTAGTACAGTTCTCTGCTCAGCTCAAAAGCTTTCACTCTGAGATGCCCCGTACCGACCCGAGTGGCTACAAATAAGCATCCTGCCTCTTGAATTTATTACAGCCCAATTTTTGACAAGTTGATTTTAAACAACTCCAGCGGCGGGCGCATTGACTGTATGCTCGGCGGCTGGTCGGCTGACATGTGACCTAAGTGAACTTGCCCTCTCCTATTGACTGCCGTGATTGATGCTCTGCCAAGCTAGCCCTGATAATTCTTAGCCACATGTCAACAGCCAGTGACCAAAAGGGTCATCCCTGTCTTTAACATTTCACACACACAAATAAAAAACACACACATGCTCCCAACGCCCACATACACACGCACAAACCCTTACAAAAGCCAGACTGGATTCTTTTCATATCCTTTTTGAGACTCCGCACACCCGTCCTTGCTAGCGTCTAATGCGTTTTGTTTTTACATCTCAGAGCTCGTCTTTCAATCTGCCGGCTTGTGAATTGAATGCTCGTCCGTCTCTTGTGGCAGAACGGGATTCGGTTTGAAAGCGAGACGTGGCTCGTTGTAAAACACACACCGTCGGAACAATGGATGCAGAGGCGCTGTGCTAAAACTGCTAATGAAAAAGATGGGCAGCTATTGACACGTATCGACAGCCGCTTCAATCAGCGCAGACTAGTCGTGCATACTTAAGTTCAAATGTATTCAGCGGGGCAGCAGGGATTAAAGGCTGTTAATGGCAGCGTGTAGTAGGCTCGATTCTGAATAACTTTGGTGCCATGAGCACATTGTTTGAACTTAATGTTGCTAGCATCTTGCTATCAAAGTCAGATTTACCTCAATTTTGGGGTGACAGAAGTGCGGAGTGATGATTTAGGTATTTCCAGCCCCGCGTGGCCAGTGTTTAGGGGAATGGCTGTCCATTCAGCACGGATATGGAAATGTGACCTAAAGGGGGGTTTGTCAAAAGCAGCCGGGCCACTGTAATTGAATCAATACGTCCGGACACAACACTGCACCCCTGCTGTGAAGCCCAAATGAAAAAAGCACATTGCCTGTGTACAAAAAAAAAAAAAATAAAATAAAAACTTTGTCTGCTACATTTTCTTTGCTTTGATTCAGGTTTGATTCACTTTAACCTTTTTCTCTACATGCTTTTAAAGCAAGACCATACATTTTTAATGTGGCCATCTATTTGATTTCCTCTTTTTCAGGTGCATCTTAGTTCCTCAAGTATGAGCAGATAAGTTTTGTCTGTTCGCTCCTGCGCTCAGCATTTGATCTAGACTACGCGGAACTCAATATGAGGAATGTTTGTTGGTCTCATGGGACCCGAGTGAACACAGGTATCCCTCCTATCTGCATTCAAACATTACGGCAGTTCCCGTTCCCCTCATCCTCTTCATTTTCGTTTGTCACAGTGCAATTAAAACCAGTTTCAAATGGCAGTCGGCTGCCTGTCGCTTTGAAACCGCTGCTTTAGTATTTTTTAATCATGTGCCTTGTTTTTGTGGTGCAAAGATTGCAGAGGACTGTACATTGTTTAAAAGCAGACAGATGAATAAATTAAGCAAATGTAACTTTGGAAGTGTGAGTGTGTGTGAGTGTGTGTGCGTGCGCTGGCCGGCCGAAAACAGTAGTGTTATTTCTAAACTCCTTTGTTAGACCCAGAGCGTCCTTCAGCAATGGCAGCAGACTCCTATGTAATAAAAATAATCTTTTACATTTCTCTGGAAACAAAGCTGATCGTTCAAACGCATTTCCTTTTCTTTTTCCTGCCCATCTGTTATTCAAAGGGAAAAGCCTGAATTTCACTCAGTTGTGTCTATATGTGTCATATCTAGCTTTTTCTTTCTTTGTGCAGTTTAGAAGTAGATCTTATTTCCCTGAAAGATATTAGTTTCCAGTGATGTGTGCGGTGCATTGATCTGCGCCTCTTTATTGTTGATGTGCATCTCTCATTCGATATATCTTACTCTACACAACGCACCTGCTGCCTACCTGAGCCTTAATAGATGTTTATACCATTTTTTTTTTTAATATGGTTATTCTTTATTTAAAAATATTGATGTTTTATGAATATGTTTTAAGCAATGGAATGACAATGACTACTGACATTTAAATATTGATGAAAATAATAATAAATAAATATATTTTTTAGAATAAGGATTGTTACTACATGCAAATATTCAGTTATTTCTTCATTAAATATTTTCTTTGTTGTAAGTAATGAAATGACAAAGTCAGTAGCTGATTTATTTATTTAAAAAATATTGTTACAATTCATGATGAAAGTTATTGTTTCATCTTTATTACTGTTTTATTACTTTTTTTTTTTTTTTGTTTATTTATTTATTATAAGGATTGTTAATATAAATCAAGTCGATCAAAGAGATCTAGTTTGGTATATGAGCTCCTGTGAACAGGTTTAGTTTAGGCAAGCATTTTAAAGAGATATCTGCCTCCAAAATCCCTACAAGTTTGAAATATGAAAGACGGTCAGATGCAATTTCTGTGGCGGCGTGGTGGGGAAGGCACAATGGTTTGTGGGCCGGTGCGGCACCTGAATTTTCTTATCAGTGGGGAATTGCGATGTGCTGAGATGCCAGCAATATCTTCCCTGCTGCTGCTGGAAATGCAGCGAGCCGGTGACACACGCGTAAACATACACACGTACTTGCGAACCGTGCATGCCGGCAGCCTGGATGCCCCGCAAATGTGGCTCAATCATTCTAGAACAAAGGGGTGCCTTTGATCTTTCCTCGCTGTATCTGTCAGTGATGTGGTCACGGTAGCGTGTGTCCACTCCCTCACTTCCACATTTGCTCTGATGGGCCGCTGTTATGATGTTGCGGTGGATTGCTACGTGTTTAAGGACTGTATTGCTTCCAATTTCCGTGTTTCCGCTTACTTAAAGTGCACGACAGTATTCGCAAGCCGAAAACAAGAAGATTTTTTTTTTCTCATAGCAGAACTGAAAGTACTTTTAATTCAAACTCTCTGATTGTTTATAACGCATTAAAATGTGTTAATGTTCTCCGTGCAGGTGGAAGGAAGAAACGAGCGACGGGCGGATGCAAAGTGAACGGCAAGCGGCTTCATTCACAATGTTTTGTATCAACAAAGTGAGCGGTTTTATCTCCGCACTTGACAGCGCGAACCGATAAGCATTGCTGAGGGAGAGAAGCGGGCTGCTTCTTTAAACCCTCTCTCACCCCCTCTTTCCCTCTCATTACACCACTCCCCCTCCCTCCCTCCTTCTCTCTCTCTCTCTCTCGCTCGCTCGCTCTTTGTCTTTCCCCTCCCCTCTCTCCCTGCTCCATCTCTCTGTGGGCGCAGACACTACCCTGTCTCACTCCAATTGGCTGGGAAGCCACCAATCTGGCATCCGGGAGGACCTGGGGGACTGCATATGCAAAGCCCTGATTCATATTAATGAGCAGCAATCGTGGCTTTAAGTCCTTGATTAGAAGAGTGCAAGAGCTTTTGGTCCCAACTGGCTGTGCCTATAGGCTGTCACCGGGAGAACGGTCCTGTTAATTGCACTGCTCAGTCACGGAAGGGAGAGAGAAGAGGAGGAGATACAGAGAGAGAGAGAGAGAGAGTGAGAGAGAGAGAGAAGCCAGAGTGAGAGAGAGAAAACTTTAATTTATAGAAGAGGTTTGCTCAAACGATGATCGCAGAGCGCACATGGATTCGGTAGAACTTTCGCTCCCTGAGTGTTTTTCCCTGCACTCCGATCAACAGTAGGTACATTTTCATTCCTTGTACTTCTACTTATAGTTATGTATCTGGCTAGACTGTTTGTTTCGTCTGTAGTTGCTGTCCTAGCAGTGTGTTTGTGTTTGTTTGTTTGTGTGTTTATGTGTGCATGTGGTCACCGTAGTCCTCCTTGTCAAGGTTGTTTTTGCTGTCAGGTTGCGTCTGGAGCTGTGTGTGCGTACTTACGTCGTGCCGGCAGCTGACGGCTTGTCCACTATTACGGCAATCTGTGTCCGCTTTGACAGGACAGAGAGTGTGTTGTGTAAATCATTAGGAGTGTGTGGCGGAAAACAACATGAGAGAGAGAGTGCAAAGGGAGGAGGGGAAGACCAAAGCCATGGGATGGAAGGGAGAAAACGGTCTTTGGTGGCTTGAATCGCAGACCGGTCGCACAGCATGTGGCCCGCTAAATGTATTAAAGACGGTGTGCTGGATCAGAGAAGGAGAGAAAGGGAAGGTGGGAGGGATTGAGTGTGCGAGGCATGAGCGGACGGTCCAGGAGCCGGTGCAGAGAACAGCTCCTTAGCTTGATATTTATCCCTGTCCCGCTGCCCTTCTGTCAGCATAGAGCGAGGAAACGTGAAAACACTGATTTAGATGTCAAGCACTGTCCTCACGGTTTTATTCTAGACTTTTATTCTGTTCTAAATACCTGCTATTTTATTTAGTTGTTTGGCTAAATCATGAGATAAAAGCTAAAAATTCTAGGTGAGACAGTTAAAACAACATGCGTAGTGGGTCTTGAAAAAAATATACATTTCATTAAACAATTTGAAAATTATCGATTTAAAAATAAAACTTTAAATCACGTCTGCTCGTAAAAAAAAGGTGCATTGTTTCGTCAATCTTTGCGTTCTGAATCTGACGAAATAGTGATGTAGCAGAACAAGTGCACGTACAAGTTTGATTAAAGAAACAACAGAACTATTAACCTCTGCCCTGTGCTGCGTATGAATACTGATAGGAAAAATAGGCTGGGAACTGACAACATCTACAGGATGAAGAAAAGAAAAAAAAGACACGTAGAGACTAAGAAGGGTCAGAAAGATCACAAACAGGTAACCATCCTGGTCTCCTAAACCTTCAGCCACCGTCCTGCAAAGTACAACACACCAGCAGCTCAACTTCTTCCTGAACGCTCGTGCGATTTATAAACACACCTGAAGAACATATGCTAGTGTAGTTGTGAAAGTCAGTTTATTTAGGGAAGTATCCTATGTTGTTGGAATGACAGCAGTCGTGTGGATGTGCTGGCACGCACCCTGCACAGGATCATTAGATTGACTGGATAATTCAGACTCATGAAAGGAAATTTCGGAGATAAGAGTGTCGGTTCCTCACAGCCTTTTAGCCATTTGGCGCTCGCTCGCTGTTTGATCTTTATTTTAACACAAATTGACTACTGAGATTCTAATTAGTATATTAATGATGGTAATAACAACAAGTGCTGGTTTAGCTATTATCATAATTACAGACTCTCACCGTCTGCATGTACATTTACATCTGCACGCTCATTTTAATATTTACATTCACAGTTGGAGATATTATGGAGCGTCATCTTAATTTTGATGGGAACGTTTATATCTTTGGAAATGTGTTTTTTTAAATTAAATAATAGAATTACTATTTTTATTATTATTTTCAAATTAGATTTCTAAATGTTAATTGGTTGGTTTTATTTTTAAAAAGGAAGAATTTTTGTTTTAAAACAAAAAATATATATTTTAATACACTTAAATCAGTTTAATGCATTTATATGATTTGTTTTAAAAATGACGGTTTTCCACATATTTGGTGTACAACTTTGATTGATTCAGCGTGTTTTCAGTTTTGTTAAACAAATGAGGGCATTTATTAGACGTCCAAATTTACGTGAAGAAAATCATCAATCAAGCTTCTCAAAAGATTGTCATAAAATTACATGCATGCTTTTTATAATTGTTCACATTTTAATTTTTACTTAACCTTACATTTTTGGAATGTACATATATCAAATAAAAAAAAAGAAACAATTTAGAAGCAAAAAGGAGAGAAAGGAAATTCCATCAAAGCTTAATGCTTGACATTTTTTAATTTCACCGGAAGCAAGCAGTCAGCTTTTTAAAGGCAATGGAGTGTGAATGTCCACTATAAGTGCGGGTGTCATGTGTGTAAAATCACTGCTGGCCTGCAGTGGGCTGAATAGTTCAGCTCAGAATCGTGCAGAAGGTGTCTGAGCGTTCACTCATGCATGTTCAACCTTTTGTCGCTTTTGCGGATGATTTTAAAACACCAAACCCCCCCTGTGGCCCTTAAAGAAAACTTGATTTTGCGTTTTCCTTCCACCCGTCTGTACTCCCCTTTCTCTCTCTCTCTCTATCTCTCTCTCTCTCTCTCTCTCGTACAAAGCGAATGATGAAACCCCAGAGGCTGGGATCAGCAGGAATAAAGAGAGATTGTGTAAATTAAATTCCATTTAATCTCCTTATAAAATCATTTACTTAATTCATCTGTCAAATGATGTCAATATGCACAGCGCAGATTTATTTATTCTGCCATGTGTGTGTGTGTGTGTGTGTGTGTGCGGGGAGGCCTTTGTTGCCGTTCAGCCCTGATTTGGCTCCATCCCATTCCCCTGTGTGAGAGGTGTCGTGGCTCGTCCTGCATGTCTTTCTCTTTCCGTGGCCCCTTGTCGATTACTGTCTGGACACTCTTTTGTCTTTACGCTGTCCTGCTTATTGGAGACAGAGCATTGCCACTTCCCCTTATTTGAAGGGGTCTGAGGCATTCCAAGGGTAATTAACTCCAGTTAAAAGAGAGCCCCCCTCCCTCCCGGCCCCTCCAGCGGCCTGTCATTCAGGAGAAAAGAGAGGCTGGAGGGGGGGCCGCGAGGAAAAAAGGGAAGCTATATTTTTGCCCTTTTGTTGAAAAGTGCAATAAGTGGCCCGTCGGACGGACGCACACACTCGTGTGAAACGGTCGCACGCAGGTGCCGTGCACATGAAAACACACGGCCGGCCGTGCGCGCAGGAGCCTGATGATGCAGTTGTCAATTTGTGTGATTTATGCATCAATCCATCAGGATTTTCCGAATGCAGTGCAGCATTTTTTTTTTTATTTTTTTTTACGAGAAGTTGCTGAGACTCACGCCAGCTGAGACTCGCTCGTGTGTGTGTGTCAAAAAACGACCCACTGCCATTAGCGATTAGACTCCTGCATTGGTGCTTCATTCTTTTCTTAAAATGCAATTCTTAGACCTTGATTTCCCCTTTGCTCCTGTCTTTATTTTGCGAATGATTCGCCCTGCTGCGTGCCAGAGAGTGGCAGAGCAGGCGCTGGCCGGCTGAGAGCCTGTAGGATACAGTTACAGCAGGTCAATAGGGAGTGTGGTCACTCCAGAAGCAGGAGGGTCCACGAGGGCTAGATAAGGGTGTAAAAATAGTGCTTTTAGCCACTGCGTTTTCCACCGGCTCCCAGCAGACTCACCGTTTGGCTCTCGGCATGCGGATAGCTTTTCTGAATCTGTTTTCTCTTCCTGTTTAGTTATTTCTCGCTAGAAGATGCATTACAACAAATGAATGTGTCTTTTGTGTGGTGGTTTTATGTAAAAATTTTAATAGTATAAAATTAGTTTAGAAGTGGATTTGGACAGTATATAAGTGATATCAGAAAATGATAGTTAGAATATAAGATTTTTATGGTACAGTTATACGTGCTTTTTTGCATCTGTTAATGATCATGTGTGTCGATAGATAGGTGTGAAAGTGCAGACTGTAAAGTTTTTCCAGCTCTAGTGGTGTAGATCCGGACTGATTTTTGAATCTCTTTTAGCTCCATTGGTCTTCAATGAGATTGTGAAATTGTGGTGATCTTGTAGCATAGAAAGGGAAACGAATCGCCCAGCTGGGTGACGGATGACAGTGAAATATTTCTCTGCGCTTTCTCCCGTCATACATCACGTGTGTGTGTGTGTGTGTGTGTGTGTTATGAGATCAGTATGATGTGTACCGTGTAAGGCCATGCAGTCAGCTGTGGAGCGTTTCTGGAGGCTGTTCTGGACTGTAACATCTCTTTGAATCGCTGAACTTCAGCACTGTTCAGATACTGAAATCATTTTATTTCTCTTTTATTTTTGCTTCGCATTGAATTATTTCAGTGCATTAATTCAGTCAGGGTATTTAGGAAAAGTGATTTTTCAAAACGTCGCAAACTTATGTATTAATATCTATATCAGGCCAATTGTTCCCACAAATAAATCAGAATGATGAAATCCTTAGAGAAATGTGCTTCATTAGAAATTCAAATGCGGCTAAATCAAGCCTATCTGTGTAATTTTCTTCAGCGTATTTATGTGCATTATCTTTCTGTGTTTGACTTTTTAAAATCCTTGTCCCTTGGAAACGCTTATGTAAACAGAAGCTATTGTTTCTTTTTCATCTAGAATGTGAAAATGCTGGTCTGAGTTAATTCAAACGAGTGTTATTTTGCACTGCTGTAACCATGATGGGAGGCTCCTAGACAAATCTGCTTATGTGCGGTCATTTTTCCAGACAGGGTATGTATGTACCTGACTGCGGCCTGTGGCACTTTTTAAACTCGCAGTTGCGTCACACATGTACGTGCAGGTATCAAAGCAAGATTTTTTGGCGTACTTTGTGGGATGTAAGAGCAAATCTGTGTATGTTTGTGTGAAGTGTCAAACGGGTGTATTTGCGCTTCATAGCTCCGTTCTCGTCTGCTCCCAGCCCCTGTTGCGCGGCGAACGGCTGCATTCCCGTAGAGATCCGCATGCTTCCTGGCTGGAGCGCCCGCACGCGCTCCGTCATATTAAAGCTGACAGTCCATCTGCTGCGTGGCCGTCCTCGCTGCCTGTGCTGCCCCTGCGTGCGAGGCCCGCATTTAATTCCACCTGTCCCGTTCTTCAGCCTTCAACCCCCAAAGGTTAAATCACGTGCTCGTCGACGTACAATAACAAGGATCCCTGCTTACACGGCTTAAAGCCGCCACCGACGGCATCTGTGGCAAGATAGCGCTAGTTGTGTGGCCAAACATATTTTACTAAAGAAATTATTTGTGAATTTGATTGTGTGTTTTAGCTGTTTGGAGGTCCGTCTTGTACCGGGTAATTAGCAGGATATGTGTAACCAGCCTAGGTTAGCTGTCAGGAAGGAGTGGAGGGAGAGAGAGAGATATAGGCATGGCATTACCATGCATGGGGTGGCCGTTCCTGCATAAGAAAGAATGGCACCTGTCTAATCAATCAGACCCCCACTATTCACAGATGGAATAGCAACACATGAGTGAGCCACGGAGCATGGCTGCAACACAGAAACACAGACACACACACACTCTTGGCTTAATTCAGCTCATTGTCCTGCGTGTTAATCCTTGTCCGCATGGATGCTGTACTTGGGCGTTTTGACAGCAGCGTGAAATGGGCTCAGGTAGATCCCTATAGATTCATTCTCTCCTCTAGAAGCGCCTGTTTCTCCCACTGATCTGAAGTGACACTTCATTTTCGTTGTTACTCATGCTTTCATTGTTTACTATCCTGTTATTTCTGAAAATTATCTTTTAGTTCTTAGGATATTTTATAATAATAATAAAATACTTATTTAATTAATAAGAATTGTATTCTTATTATTATTATAAATTATTATTATTAATAAAATAATACAAACTAAAAATAAATATTAATATGTGAATTAATTTGAATCAAAGCGTGTAATTCAATATAAGCGGCATAATATTCATCTGAGTTCACTTCATGGTGAGATTGTCAGTAACATTTTTTTTTTTGTGTCCGCTTTTATTTTTATTGTATTTACTTTTTTATTTCTCATTTCCTTTTCCCCCTTATTTTATAAAAAATTGTAAATGTTGGTAAAGACGTAAGGAAATGATTAATGGGATATGCTGTAAAAAATTTTTACACATTTAAGGAAACATTTTGACTGCTCAACAATCCAGCAATCCTCCCCTAATTAATTTCCATAAATTTGAATAAACTATTTTACTGTACATACTCAGAGCCCACGATCACCATGTTATTTACATAGCTCTGTCACATATGCTGTTCTGAAATATCAGCTGTACTTTAGCATTCAAGAAGTGTTCAGTGAATGACTGAGATAAATGTGTGTGTTTGTATATGTACGTGTATATGTGCATGTCTTACTGTGCATGTTTTTCATGTGTTGTGTTTACTTTGATTTAAACATTTTAGATGATCTCTTATTCTTCTAAAGAGATTTTAGATTATTGAAATGCATGTAAATATGCTTTGAAAATGTTTTTACTGTATTGTTAATGTACTCTTTTACATGCAAACCTTCCTTTCTGATTTCTTTTCAGATGTTTAATATTGTGCCACTAAAGTCAAATAGTTAATTGGCTTTTGATGTAATTTTCATCCTCGTCTGCTGCTGATGTGTCCTGTTATATACAGCATGGCCTGTCGGGAATTTAAAAAAAAAAAAATAGCACACTGCTTTTGAAAGCATCCCAGTAGTTAATGACAGATATTTAATGCCTCTGGCATTGGGAATACAGTAGTGTATTTGTGTGTAAAGTCACGTTAAAAAGAGTTGAGAGAAGCAGGAGTGTATCAGGCCGTGTGGCGTGTGTGATGTGGGGCTTATCGATTCCGCCACTCACTCGCCCAGAACTAAAGCCAACACATTACGTGTGAGTGTGTGTGTGCGTTACTTTTTTTCCACTAAGCTCTGACTGGCTCTTCAGCCTCACTCACACACACACAGCACATGCTGTTCTGCCCACTGTTTATGAGGTAAACACACACTCTAAAGTGCAGCTCTTCAGAATTAACTCTCAAATTAGCAATGATTGCGACAAAATAATTTGACAATCACTGTTATTTATTCACAACATACTATTTTCTAAAATAATGAAACAATGCCTGAAGTTTATGCATTTTTTTGTGGTTTTCATGTACTCTAAATGGGATTTAGAGACTGAGAAATTGATTTGGCTTATCAATTTCTTCAGAAATGCCTAAACTTCATCGCAGAAAGGAAGACGAGAGCCTTTAGAAAGAGAATGGCAGGAAGATCTTCACGGCTGTATTCTCTCAGACAGCCGCTGAAGCACAGCATTAGTTGAGTGATTAGTTTCATCAGTCCGAGTGTGGGGACAGTTGGGGGTTGTGCAGCTCTAATGACATTGAACGTGTTTGCTGAGTTGGAACGGAGAAGGAGAATTAGGGGCCTCCTCTGTTAATTAGAGAGTGTGGCAGACTCATACACTCAACCGAACTGCATGCCTGTGGCTCGTACCACTTCACTTCCTTTACTATTATCGTACAAAATCGTACAAAATGAGTGTTTCAGAAATGTTCATCTTTGATGGAAAGCTAGTCGTTTCAGCTGAGGACTTGAAGTGTGTGTTAATGTGAACAGGTGTTTTTCTTAGGCACTTTTGTTGCCTCAATTAATTTCCATAAGTTTGTTTAAAGATTTTGCTGCACTAACACACAGGCGAGGGGTTATTTGCATACAGTAAGACACTCCTAAGACATCTGTGGAGTCTTTTGTTTTCTTGTGAGGCGTTTTGGAGTGTTTCCTATGTGATAACCTGCAGCTGCGACTTTGTTAAAACCAAGATTTTGATTAGTAAAGACGTCAATCTTTGCCCTTGAATCACTACTTAAATGCTAAACGACCTATGTGTAGCAAATGAACTCGTACAGGTGTGACGTCAAACCTTTCGCAGCACGTTTGTTTTTATATGGACATTTCTCAACCTGTCCTGAACCCTCTGATTCGGCGAATCCCGTAAAGCTACGGGCTCTCTCGACCCTGTACAGGGGTCACGGGCGTCCGCTGATCTCCCCGATTCCTTCTTTTATCTGCTGACACCCCAAACTTGTTAAATCGGAGGCCGGTAGATTGATGAGTCTGTGCATTAAAAAACATCAAGACAGGTTTCAATTAGGTTCTGGCAATAACAAAAGAGCCCAGGTTTACCCTCTTCCGATCCTCAGCGGAGACGCACAGTTACAGCGGATCAGGAAAAGAGGGAATATTTTGTCTCACAGTGTGCCGTGCTGCGTCACTGTCTGTCAGCAGTTAATGGCTCAATGGTTCTTTATCAGAATTCCTCAGTCCATCTCTCTGACCCTCGTTTTTATTCCTTTTCTTGCTCTCCCTTTTGTTGTAGAATGAATTTATCAAAGGCCCAAGTTAATAGCGAAGATAAGTACGCCAAATGCGGCGCTTGGAGAACACAACAGCAATACGACATCGAGGCCAGTCACATGCGTGATGCACATGCTCTATATAACCAAAGGTAAGGAAAGGACCAATAATAGTGTCATCAAAAGCCAAAATCACTTCTGGTGATTGTTGTTTTATTTCTTTGTGTGTTTGTTTGTGTTTTGCCTGCCCAGCTGTTATTTATCCATGCTTGCTTCATTCAGTCAGTGTCTTAGTCTAGTTCGTGTATATGTGCGTGTTGTTGTCAAGACGCGGGATGTAACTGTTGCATGACGTACCCATTGTGCACTAAACACCTGGTCCTAGGCTGTTCCCTGGGCCTATAACTGTGACAAACACTGATACAAAGTAATCAGGTCATATTCATTTGTGTTATTTCTCAATGTCTGTCTGTTCATGGAGGGACATTTGTACATCTGTTTTTGCCTGGAGCTTCGGTGTTGATAGATAGATAGATAGATAGATAGATAGATAGATAGATAGATAGATAGATAGATAGATAGATAGATAGATAGATAGATAGATAGATAGATAGATAGATAGATAGATAGATAGATAGATAGATAGATAGATAGATAGATAGATAGATAGATAGATAGATAGATAGATAGATAGATAGATAGATAGATAGATAGATAGATATGCTCAGATCGAATATAGTTGTGGGTTTAGACGGATAGGGAAAGTTTATGTTGAGTTTATGGGTATGGGTTGGAGAGGTTGCCGGTTGTCGTCCCCTCCAGATGCAGAGGAATGTGTTAAATGCTTCAAGGGTTCCGATTAGCATATAAATTTAGATGTATGAAGATCATTGCTCCGATCACGAGTCAGTGAGTTTTATCTAGATTTAGTGGGGGCTGATTTGCGTATAAAATACAGCCAGATGTGACCAGTTAAGAGTCCTCACCAAGCCCTTCTATCTCTCTCTCTCTCTTTCTCTCTCAGGCCATCTTCTGTAAAATGTCTTTGTTTGACTGTTGTAATTTCAGGTCATTTATGGTTATTACTTTAGAGGTTACGGAAGGGTCAGAAAGAAAAGTGCCTTCACTTCTTTGATTTATTTTCAAAAGGTACATTTTATTTTCTTTGAAATCTAAATTCATTTTCAGTAGCATTTGTATTTCTTCCTTCATTCTAATTTACAAATATCATTTTAAAAAGGTGCTTCAAAGAAACAATATCATTAGTCACAGTATGCAAAGCATTGTAGGAATGGCTGTATGTCACTTTAAACACTCAACTTCCTCTTTGTCGTCATCCGCTGATGTTTTTTGGGTATAGTTAGGTGTGTGTCCTAAGGCTGGATTTTTTTTTAACAAACCTTTTAAAAGAAGGTGGCTGTGCTTTGACAGGGACGCTCAAACGTATTACAAGGATTGGATTTGGGACAGGTTAGTCTGGGTCAAACCAATTAGGCTCCATTCGCATGCAAGAAGTCTTTTCCGCTATAAGCCAATCAGGATCACGTTACTGGCACAGTCTGAGTTTGTGGCTCTCTATGGACAGGTCTGCCAGGCACTACCGTGTCACGCCATGGGCCCAAAGCAAAGCATGTTGGGAGCTGGAGGACATGGCTCTCACCCTGAACATCCACATTGGTCACACAGCACAGTTTGAAATCTTGTGCTTTAAATTAGGGAGGAGGGCAATGCTAACTTTGCATTTAGAAAATTCAATTTTGCGGATGATTTTCCTCCAATGCCAGGCACAGCCATTTCAAACACATTCACACACATGCCAAACAGGGCAGGATGTTTTACTAGCAGCTGTATCAGAAGATTTGAGGTCCGTCATGCATAGATTCACACACATGCACTCCTGTAACCATACATTCATGTGGTCATGCAGAGATAATCATCAAACCGGTACTGATACAAACGCATAGACATATGATACACAAACACACATTGTTTACAGTTCAATATGCCAGCATAAGATCCGATTCATGGGAAAAACATACATTAATACAAAAGGGCGCAGGTTTGTTGGGAACCAGGAGAACTTTGAACGCTTGTGGAAGCCTGCTCAGAAAAATAAATCCCTTTACTGAAATAGGCGAACACCCACCTTCAACACTTCCTCACACACATGCACACACCTTCCGCTGATAACTCTCATCTCAGAGCGGAGTGAGAGAGACAGAAGCCTGGTCCTGGGGTCAGGGGAAAAACCTCTCCATCTGCTGGTGAGCTGTTACCCAGATGCAAGCCATTTCCCAGATAAACAGAATCAACTGATTTAGCTCCTTGGCCTCCAGAGGCACTCTTTTATTTATATGATCAAATACTCGGAAAATGATTAATTTGTCAAGGGAGCGGCTTGTTACTGTAAATTTAGCGGGTTGCGTAATAAACTAGATTGCTCTAAACGCAGATGGGAAATGAAGGGCTTTTGGGTTTATAACTGGGAGGATTATTAGACTGGGTGTTTTATATTGTAGTATTGACACTTGAAATCTTTCAGGAGCCTTGGGGCCGAATGTGATGGTCAGGTACCACTTGTTGGAAAACACGGGATGTTTGATTGAAATGCTGTGTTTTAGTGATAGATGTGCTGTTTGCATGACTTTTTTTTATTTGAATAATGACAAAACAATATTGACATTATTATGAATACTATTGATACCTTAAAATAATTAAAAATATAAGAATATCAAAAAAAAAATCAAGAAAAGAGTTAAATTTTTGCAGTTCTTAATGAAAATGTAGTGCTACTATCATTACTGTTTTTTATTTTATTTTTATAATATGTTTTATATTCCGTTGATCTATTGCAATTATTAGTATTTATATGAAATTTATAATTATTACAATAGACACAAAAACACATACATTGTCAGAGACAATTATATATTTTTATTATTATTTATTTTAACACATACATAGATTATAAATACATAGTAAATTAACAACTTTGTTAATAAGGGATACTAAGCAATAGGATAGCTGTGGTAGTTCTGTCAGTGAAGGTAGAGTGATGTTACAATCTTGATCATCAAAGCATCAAAGATGCTGAAAAATGATTCGACTATTTGCGCCTCTTCTTTCACCCTAATGAAAGTGCCTGTAGACATGGAGGGTGTTTCGTTCACGGTTGGGGACCGGCTCCGTGCAGAGAGAGAGAGAGAGAGAGAGAGTGGCAGAACGGGTATTACAGAGGTAAACCCGATTATGGGTGGAATGTGAATTAGATTTTGTAACAGATGGTGGTGTTGAAAATTTAAGATGCTTTGCGGCAGGGGAAGGCGACAGCAGCTCGGTGCGTCTCCATGTGAGCGGGGGTGATAGACAGCTATAACTCAGGACAATCCTGCCTTGACAGCCAATTTCAAGAATCTGATCTGGTTAAAGACATGGCTTTCACCGGTTCACTCACCAAAAAACAACCACCATTTCTCTCTCTCTCTCCCTCCCTCCCTCTTTTTCCCCACTCTCAGCACCTCTTTTACACGCTTGTCATATTTCCTGGAATAAAATCCTCTTTAACCATCTGTTTAATAGAATGTGTTTTTAATCTCCATTTTTTTTTTAGTCCCGTTATTTTTTATTATATTTACGTGCAATTTCATTTCTTTGAGACTGCGGCTCATCCTCGCTTATCTGCTCTCGTGTCCTGTTGGGGTTGAATAGATGGGTGCTGCGCTCCAACAGCGGTAAAGCAGTGATTTTAAGCGTATTGCTTATTGAAAAATGCCAAAGCTTATTTGCTGTGCCCTGTTCTTTAGGGCCTGTCACTGCCGAAGAAGCGATCGCTGGCTCCCTCTGCAATAATGAAATAATGATCACATCAAACTTCACAAGTCCTGTTTTGTCTTTCAAACTCTCGTTTGACCTCTTACATTGACAGTGATTCAGCTAGACTGGCAGTTTTTTGCTGAAATTCGTACAAATAATTGTAAAACAAAATGCATTCAGAGCTAGATATGCATGTGAGTGTACATGTGTGTTGTTTGTGCTGTTGAGAGGGACATCTTACCTGATAAAGCAGAACACTTATCTGCCCGCACAGAAAAATGACCTAAATCATCAAGATTTTCATCTACGAGTGTTCCAGGGACTGTCAAACACACACACACACACGACTCTTATCGAGTTTGGACATCTTAACCCTGCACTGTTGTCAGTGAGAGAGAACAGCACATTCGTTTTTTTGTATTAAAATAAAATTTAATATGGATAAAACAGACACCCAATACATTATTTAAAGATTATAATTTGTCTACCCCTTTCCCCCCATACATTTTCATTTGCATAAAGAATTTGCAAAATGTAAATATATGTTCTTATCCCTCTGCATTACTCTATTGTATTAGGCTGTTGATCCTCTACTATTTATTACACAGCAGAGCGTTAGCTCCTCATCTCCACTGGCCCGCCGCTGGCATTTTTACGGCAGCTCGCTCCATTGTACAAATGTGTTTTTGTCATTATCACATTGATTGCATGTAATCAGAGGTGTTATTTTGCAGGCGTCCATCGACAATGAAGTGAATTACTACTTTCCAACCCAGTAATGTTATAACAATTGATCTGCCCATACAGCCGGAAAAGGCAACCTGTTTGGCAGTGGCACGTCTGTATTTCTCATGCGGGAACAAGAGAAATTAGTATCCCTTCTGTAAAGAGGCAGATCAGTTCCTGTTTTTTATGTTTAATTGAATATCCTACAACTTTCTCTAAAGCAAATGTGCTTTTAAATCACTCTAAAAGTCAAACAAATGTTTAGGTTTCTTTTTTATAAATATAATTAAATGCAGTTTTTAATTGTAGTGAAACACACTGAGGTCCAAAAAGAATGCTAATTTTTTTCTAGAGGAGCCCCCCCCCCCCCCCCCCCCAGGGTATATTAGCATGAAAAGTTATATGAATACAAAATAAAAATAGATACAAAAATTATTTTTACTTTTACTTTATCACTGAATATTTCTAATTCAATTTGTATTTTTTTTTCTATATATAAAATCCCAAATCCACTAGGTTTACATGAAGAAAAAATATACATATTTCAATTTTTGGACCCCATTAATAATTTAAAGATATTTATGTTTCTAAAACAATTAATTTCCCAAACATCTTCGGCTCTGAACATTCAGCTGCTCTCATGGGCAGTTCTTTTCCAGCATTTAGCAGACTGTGCCGCCTCCAGCTATCCATGATCACAGAGACTTACTGCTTCCGGCAAAGAGAGAGATAGAGAGAGAAAGAGAGGGAGAGAAACTCTCAGTGGTTGCACCTTAATGCAATGATTATATGTTTGCCTCTATAGTTGTCAGAGCACTGGATCAAACAGGCTAATGACACCTTGTCATTGCCAAGTGGCTGTGTTTTCCAAAATTGTTTTCCTGCTGATTTGTGACACCTTGCCTCAGCACATAAAATAACAGAGAGTCGACAGAGGAAAACAAAAGTAAAACAATAATGTCTTTGGTCACAGATCCACTTTGAATTTTAACTTTCAACAAATAGATGGCTTAAATATTTGATATCCGGGAATACACTTCTGTTTTCCTTTGTACAGTGACTGCACATTTTATGTTTCTCTCTTGGAAATGACTTTTCAGTCAAGTTTTTCTCATTACTGAAACTTAATAATTATTGATCATGATTACAGACCATTATAAAGTACAAATAAAAAAAGCATATTGAGATATGTTTCGAATTTTCAACCCAGCCTTACTGATGCATTTTTTTAGCTAAAACTTTACCTTGAATCAGCAGAATTCACAGCAACACTATTCAGTAGAAAACCTAAATTGATTTATTTTTGCTTGTTTTAAAAGGCATTTTGTTTCATTTTGCCCCAGTCACACACTTAAACTAGAACCTTAACACAATGAGGTGGTATAATTTACAAGAAATTTACCAACTCGAGCACTATTTATAATGTTGAATCTCAATAATGTCCCTAACAATAAAGAACAACCGATTATGTCTCGTGCTGTATTTTTTTTTTTTAATCTTGTCTCTCGGCTGACTATTGCCTGCCTTTTTTCTACCCTTCCACTTAACGATTATTATTTCCATTCATAAGCTTAAACTAAATTCCACTGCTTTTCAGCATAAGAACTCCTTTTGTTAATGGCACACTGTGGGATTGAAGCTCGGCGCCGCAGTGGTGAAAACAGATAAAATCATTACCTCTCAAATAGTCTCTTCTCTGTCGGAAAGGGCTTTCTTTTCTTCTAAAATATAGGCTTTAGAATTCCATTTCTCTTAGAGCTAATGTGAATTTTACTGCCTCTAATTTTGGATTCAAGTGCGGCCTAGAATAAAAATCCACCGTCTGACAATTGAATTTATAGAGAGTTGTGAATATTGCAGGTTTGGATTAATAGAGTCATAGAATTTCAAAGAGCAGGAGAAAGAGAGCGAGAGAAAGAGAACGCTAATAACTTTCAGTCAAAGTTATAGAGCAGGGTGTCTCCTGTTGAGAGTCACTGTAAAGCACGAGGAGCCCTTACAATGCTGGCCTCTTCCTTTTGTTACCCGCCGTTTTGACTTCACACTCACTGTGTCACTTAGGACAGGAGGCGGGTTTCTCAGCCGCCCCGCAAAAACCAGTTTGTCTCTGTCACCCAAAATAGAATGAGAGAATGTGTTGTGAGTGTAAACAGTCACTGGTGCTTGTTTTCACTGATTTCTAACCGGCTTTACGCTGTGTATATATATACACAACATGCATCCTTGACATTACTGGAATGTTCTAGAATACCTTTGTGGCTCTCCACACACCCCAGGACACCTGTCTGTGTGTGCATGTGTGTCGGTGATGCATCAGTGGAAATGTAATAGGAGCTTTTTCATAATCGATTGACTCTCAATGAAATACACAGAAACAGGTGCTTCGACTCAGCACATTTTGGCCTTTTACACCAGAATGCATTAATAGCTTCACCATTAATAGTTCACCATTGTTTTGTTGTTTTGGTTAAATATTTAAGTCCTAAACAAATTTGATATACATTGAATTACTGATATATATATATATATATATATATATATATATATATATAGTTTAAAACAATAATAATACAACAATGGTTTACTAAAATGATTAGTTCTACCATGTATAAACATATTTTATATAAATTGAATTACTGAATAAGGGTGTTTTAAAAAATACAAATAAAAAATAGTTTATAATACTAAAATATTTTAGATTTGTACTTGGCTTGCCAATATTTTCTGTAGTCTCACAAAAAAAAAAATATTCATATATATATTCATTTATTAACTTTTTATTAAAGTGCTATTATGAACTAATTTTGAAATTGGCATGGTAAAGACCTAGATGGCTAACACACATGAGGGTTTGCCCAAAACTGCCTGAATGATTAATAGTATAGAACATTAAATTAAAAAATTTTAAAATCTAAAAAAAATAAAATCTGAAATATATTTTGGATGCATAAGATTTAAATATATATATAAATATGTTTGATCTAAAAATAAAAAATACTAAAAATGAATAATAGTATAGAAAATTAAATATACTGCTAATCATTCAGGCAGTTTCTGACAAACCTTCGTGTGTTAGCATCTAGGTCTTTACCATGCCAATTTCAAAATTAGTTCATAGTACAAAAATATATTTGACTTATATAGTCTATAATCCCAATTTTCCCTTATTCTGTAAAATATCTTTGAATAATAAGGTGGTCTGGATTCTTTAAAGATCTCTCCCTCTCTCTCTCTCTCTCTCCCTCTCACACACACACACACACACACTTTATGGGCCTTAGAAGAAGTCATCTTTTACAAGCTGACCGGATTTTAGAGCCCTCATTTGGAAGCGGGCTTCCTTAATTAAAAAGACCTTTGTGTGGTCTTCCAGACTGCCTATTTTATTTGTCCCCCTCCATCTCCATGTTAAAATGGTCCTGATGTGTTGTCTGTATAAATCCTCCGTGATTTTCTTTCTGTCTCTATATAAAGTCTTTGTTCCTCCGCCATCATCTCTCCTTTTACACACCTCATACCGCTAATGCATTCAAAGGAAAAAAGAAAGCGCATTTAAGTGTGACCTCACACTCAGTCTTTATGAAATCACAACCCCCAAAACCTTTGAGGATTTTCGAGAAACAAACAGTCCCCGAACGATCACATTTTGCTAAACGTAGATATTGAAGTGCTGCTAATTGATGCGGCTGTGTTGAAGTGCCGCCCTCCACCCCCATACGCCCTGCAGAACCCAGCTCAGGGTCTTCTGGATTGTTGACAGGGGAAACGGTTAATCCACTCTTGCAGGCCTTGAAGCCTCCTGTAAGACAGAGCAGAGATATCTATTAATTACAGCGCTCATTAATAGGCCTCTCTCCCAGGGCTCTGTGGGTGGAGGGGTGGTTCAACTAAATGGGTTGGTGGTATCGAGCGATGTGGGGTGGGGTGGTCGGCCTGCTCTTTTGTTTGGCTTTGAAGAGTCTCTGCTTTTGACTGTGTGGGTGTCTGTTTGTGTTACTGGATTGATACTGGATGTTTGTGTCTGTCAAGCTGATTTTTTAGTTTTTTGTCCGTCGATGCGTACACGCGTGTGTGTGCGAGTGTGTATGGTGACTGGCCACGGGCGAGGATGATGGAACTGCTTTGCACCTCCGCACTGATTAGAGTCATGTAGAACAAGTTGATATTGACTGGAAAGTGAGTGATGGCGCTGAGCTATCCGTACTGTCCCTCTCTCTTCCGCCCTGCAGACGCTCATCTGTCATGGTGCATTTGATCACCGGATCCCACCCCTTGATCCACAATCACAAGAAAAGGCCTTTAGCACTTTTTTTTGTGGAGATGGAAGATTTTGGTGCAGAAGAAATCACAGGCTTTAAATTAAACTCTTTAAATCGACAGTACATAATTTGTATTTGAAAATATTTTTATATTTTTATATTATTATATTTAATATTTATACATAATTGAAAATTAATCTGAATGGTCAGCATTGATTTTCAGTTCAACTTTCTTTATATATATATTTGATATTTTGTATAATTTTATTTTTATATTGTAATTATTAGTGTATAATTAATTCTGTCCAAAATCCTTCATTGTAGTGTGCATATACATAGATAATCATAAATATATCATTATGAGTTGACAAGGCAAATAAATGCTGAAATGATTTAATCCAGATTATGTACAGTATATGTATGTAATACGACAGGATCTAAAACTATTAGGACATGACTGAGTTGGTTGTACCACATTTCTTTAGAGCTCAATTGGCTGCACACTATGCTAGAGTAGCGATGTTAGCTCTCCTCTTTACAGCCGTGTAGATATACAACCACTCAGACACTTTAGTGAGACCCAGGGGACCATGGCACACTGGCTCTCATATGCCTCGCCTCTTATGTTTCCTCTCAGAGAAGTCATTAACATGCTAAAAAACTAGAATTCTGAATTCTCAATCAGGGGCTTTTTTTAGCCGCTGAATCCTCTGTTCTCTCAGCCTAAGGCGGAGGTGGACCCATGTGCAAAATGGAGAGTCGCTCTTAAGGACTGGGCTGTATGTTTCTATTTCTTTCGATTTTTCTCAATTGCTTTGTGTTGGCGACACATTTTTAAGCTGCCCCTGCTAAAAAGACCATCTTGGACTAACATGATTTACTATATTGCTAGCATCTAAGGCACCATACGTTGGTCTTTTCAGCACGGACATCAAAGAAAAGTTCTCAGGCAATCATTTTCTTGGTTTCCATACTCTTTTACCGTTGGTCGTGTTCACTAACGCTTCAATATTTGTTTTATGTTTTATCCTCGTAGGCTGCTCTGCAGAATGTCCAGCAAGGACCGCCACATTGAGTCGAGTTGCCCCTCTTACATAAAGACGGAACCTTCCAGCCCCGCATCACTGACGGACAGCGTAAATCACCACAGCCCCGGCGGCTCCTCAGACGCCAGCGGTAGTTACAGCTCCACCATGAACGGCCATCAGAACGGTTTGGACTCGCCCACTCTTTATGGCCCAACGGGTGCTCTGGGTCCCAGCGGAGCCGGAGCCAAGCGGTACGAGGACTGCTCCAGCACCATCACAGAGGACTCGCAGATTAAATGCGAGTACATGCTGAACTCCATGCCCAAGCGCCTGTGTCTGGTGTGCGGGGACATCGCCTCCGGCTACCACTATGGCGTCGCCTCCTGCGAGGCCTGCAAGGCCTTTTTCAAGAGGACCATTCAAGGTTGGCTTTTACCCTCCCTCAGCTAGATCTTCAGCTAGGTTCAGGCGGCAGTCCAGGGTGTCAGAGGGACTTAGTCAAAGTGCAATAACTAGAATCAGCACAAATCAATTCCATACATCCAACGTCCTCTGGCTTTACACCACCTAAGCAGCTTTCCGTCCAGTATGTGCGACAGTGCAAAGAAATAAACATTTCCTGTTTCAGATTAACAAGCTTGATCAGTTATTTCAAAGCGATTGGCAGTAATTGAATTTACCAGGAAGTAACTCATCTGCTAGTGTATAGAAGTGACGGTAAAGCTCTGAGGAACAAAGTAGGTGCTGAATAAATGGGTCAAAAATGTGCTCGGCCTGAACACGATCCAAACCCCCGAAAGGTGGAAATTTGACATATCGGTATGTTTCATCCCATTACCCAATAAAACTCTTGGTGATTTTCAAAAACATCCCATCCAGCTGGACATCCATTGAGTTCTAGACTGGCAGGTTTTTGAGGGAAGGAACGGGGTTGTGGAGTTCAGGGATGCAGGGACGTCAGGACAGCGGTTTGGGGGAGGGCGCTGGGACAGGCGGCAGCATGGGCGCCACGGCCACTCAGATCACTGGCAGCTGGCATTCTGGTGGCACTTCTCCAATGCCACCTGACAACCTGCATCTATCACCTCCCAATTGAGCCACTCGTAGCCAAGCAGTGGTGAAATACTGGAGGGAGTTACCAAGAGTGCAACCTCAGAGAGCCAAAAACGTTGCCGTAGTGGAAGGTCAGCTCAAGGTCATGTTGTCGCCATTCTCTGGAAATGAGCTCCATTGGCATTTGACTGCAACTGATGAATGATGGAAGTGTAGCGTTTAATATGAAGACAGGCAGAGGAAGAAAGCACCTGGGACATTTTATATCTTATTTGAAACCTCTAGTCGGGCACTTGACTGATAGACAATGGGCATTGCACTAATCGACTGCCACCTAACTCAAATCACATCACTCTATCCTGTCAGCGAACACACACCCACACACACATACAGCCTCGTTTCTACTGTGTTGATAACCTGGACACAGCACTCAAGCCATTGGCATTCAGCTACTGGGAGGAAAGCACCTATATTAGATTGGCAAGGATTTTTCCCCCCTTAAACATTCCCAGCTGGTTAAGACCACTCAACCAGCCTCATCCCTCATGCGAATCACCTTTCAACTCCACACACATTCCACCTGCACAGATTCCTCCCAATCCGAAGACCCTAATGGATTCTGGAGATTACCTGACTAATGAATATTGGAGCTCAGTTTAATGGACATGCATACTTTAAATACTGTTTCCTGTTGAATTAGCAGTCTTGAGCATTTAGCCCCCCTGCTCGTGCTGCTAATCTGCTTTTTAATGAGGAAACATCAGTTCACAGAAGAGAAGTCAATACAAATCAGTGTTTACAAAGTCTGATTAACTCTGAAATATTTCATCAGTGTGGAGGTCCCAGACGGGCCCTATGTTAATTGCATGTGTGTGTGAGAGAGAGAGTCTGTTTCAGTGTGTGTGTGTGTTTTCTAATAGTTATTCTATAGTGCAAATTCTCTCTCTACGCTGAGAGTTTTAGCACTGCCATAAGCTGTTCCAAACCCTAAATTTGTTCTATTAAATTACTATATCTGGCAAGTTATTCTCATAATTCAGCCAAGGAACTGTTTAAATGCTTTTATTGTGTGCCAGATTACTCATCAGATTCTATTTGTGTGCTATTGCAAAAACAAGCATATATCATGGCCATTTTCCCCTCTCACTGCATCATAATACTCAAAGAACATGCTGTAATAGTCGACTTTATGGCAGGGCTTGCAATAGGAAACCTATGGCTCTCTGTGCTTTGTTTGTAATGGGGATTGGTAGGATAAGGAGCAGTGTTAGTTGTCACAAGGTAATTGGAAGTTCACTTAGAGGTGAATTGTGACCTCCAGGTCTCTGTTTAGGTTTAGTAAAGTCTGCCTGCCTGCCCAGCTTCACACAGTTCCATGACATATGACCTCTGAGGAGAGCCAGTGGCTCTTTCCTGCATGACATTTTGCACTCACAGTATTTTATTGGTTGAGATTATAATGTTTGAAAATGTTGATTTATATCTTAATTGATATGTATAGCAATTTTATTCAACACGGGTGCATTAATCGACAGTAAACACATTTCTAATGTTCTTTATAATGTAAAAAATTTCAATTTCAAATCCATTTTCTTTTTAATTTTCTATTCTGATATATATATATATATATATATCAGTTTCCATAAATATATTAAGCCACACGACTGTTTTCAACTGTCATAATAATAATAAGAAGAAGAAGAAATACCTCTCGAGCATCAAATCAACATACTGTATTGGAATATGAGAAGACAATCATTTTTGATTTAATAAGTGAAGAAATTTTCCAACCCCAAATGCAAATTATTTTATTTGTGCAAATGATACAATTTTATATATGATATACATGATATTTCTTACTAGATTGCTACAGAAATGAGGTTTTGGTTGGCAGTCATTAAACACTTTCTGTTCCTTCCCTCTACATGCCTCGCCACAGGAAACATCGAGTACAGCTGCCCCGCCACCAATGAATGTGAGATCACCAAACGCAGAAGGAAGTCCTGCCAAGCCTGCCGCTTCATGAAGTGTCTGACCGTCGGCATGATGCGAGAAGGTGAGTGATAGAAACGGGTCGGGGAGGGGAAGCAAATGCACATTTTATTGGTTTTCCGACTGTATTTCTCACTATCTACCATTTTGAGAAAATCTACTGGTTTCTTTGAGGAGGAAGAAAAGTAGAACAGGTCTGGAATAAAGTCAAGGTTGAAACTGAAGGGCCGGTTGGCCTCCTGCCCTGAGGGCCACTCACGGTCAGCCAAACACCATCTTTTTGTCTCGGCCTCAAGGCCCAGTTCTAACTAACAAGACTGGTTATTATTTAGAGAGATGGCCTGTGAGGCATTTTCTCAGAGGTCTGCCAAATGGACAAGCAGTTATTTTGAAACCGCCGCTCTCCTGTGGAAAGGCTCTGGCTCTCCAGGCTTTCCTGCCTTTGATGTTAAAAGTTTACTGAGGAGCTGCCTGAACTAGCCTTTAACCTTCATGCAAGAAAAAAGTCCTTTTTGATATCTTCAGCAGCTGAAATGCTGCACATTCATTCAGGTGGACAGGATGTGTTTTGTCTGCCTATGAACGAATCGCCGTCATAGGCGGGAGAGGGAAGATGTGAGAGAGAATGAGAGGTAGGCTATGCTCCTGTCACTCACAGCACAGGAACTCTTAGAGACGCAAGTGTGTGTGGACACAAACGCTCTGGCCCTTTAAGTCACGATCAGGTAGACTGCACCTTATTCACCAAGACACGAGACCAGACGCACACACACACACAAGCCCTGCGGCCAGCCTACCTACTGCGGACCTGAGTGGTCAGCTCACATTATACCAAAACAACACATCTGTGGAGCAACAGCAGGCACAAATGCCCCACAGGTCCACATTTGTTTGTGTTGAGTGTGAGAGCATGCGCCTATGCGTGTTTTTGTCTGTGTGAAATGTTTCTTTTTCATATTATCCGTCTTTTGCTCACACACTAACACACACACACGCAAATGGCAATCTCATTCAACGCTATTGTTGCCCTGTGCAGGGACATTTGCCTACACGGCCGGTGTCGCTGACAGGTAGGTAATTGATAAGTAGAGGCCTGTTTTCAGAAAGGTCTGAGGGATGTAGTTGCATGTTTGATATGGCATCTTCTCCCATGAGCACCCAGACAAATAGCAGCCTTTTGTTCTTGCTGCTAGCCACCCATATACACATATATCAAAATGGCACCCAATGGCACAACCATTTGTTGTAAAGTGCTTGAATTTAATACAGAGGTCCCCCTCTACATATGAATAAGGGTCATTTGAAAAATTGATGCATCAATTTTCCTATTTTTCCACAACATGTTTACTTTACACACAAAGAACGAAGAAAAAAAACACATACAAACAATTCAATTCAACTATAGATATATTCATATAAAATATGTGAATTGCTTTTGTTTGGTCCCTCACATTTTTTATTTTGTTAGTCAGTTTTATGACAGTAGTTACTTTTGAACGTTACACTAGCATCTATTTCTGGTTTGTTGTTTGTTTTAAGTTTGAACACAATTTAAAGTAATTCGTATAAAATCTGTGTAAAATGCTATGCATTTAGTCAGATTTACATCATTTTATTTGCTGAATATTATGCTAACTTGTTTTCACAGTGTTTTATGCACAACAATATTTAAATTACATTTAGCATTTTATTTTGTTGTTAAAAAGAATTTACTATACAGTTGTGAATATTCTTATAATATTACATTGTTTTTGTTTCATGTTTACAATAATCTATTGGCTACTTTTAAATGTTGCACTACCTTTTTTTCTCTCCTGCTTTTAAGCAATCAGCACATACAAACAGTTTAACCTTGTGGGTATATTAAAAAAAAATGTTTAATAGGTTTTGAATGTTTTTGAATCTAATCTTTTTACTAGCTACTGTACTTTTGAACAACAGATACAAAAACAATTTAGCCTCACTAAAATTAAATATTTGAGTTTGCTATGCTAACTATATTTTGTTTGTCGGTTTTGCAACACTTTGACTAGCTATGTTTGTAACATTACATTCGCACATTTTTCAAGGTTGTTTTAGATATGGAAACACAATTCTTCCTCATGGCTTTTCATATGAAATATTTAAATTGCCTTTAAGTATACGACTGACATTCCTCGTGGTTTTCTGCAAATAAAATGTTATGCTAACATTTTGTTTGTTCGTTTTATAACACTTTTGAATGATATGCTAACGCGTTTGTCTGGTTTTGTTGTTTTCAGTGTTTTAGCACAGAACTCACTTGCCTGGAATCAGATTTAATCCAGACCAGTCATCTATGTGTGTGTGTTAGTTGTCAGTCGACGTTAACTGTGGCTGGCTAGCTTAGGTGAGGTACAGGCTAAGCCGGCGTGTCAGTGTCCGTGGAGTTGGAGGGTTTTGGGAGAGGGGAGGGGGTTCGGTTGTTACCCATAGCCAACAGCTTGCTTAAGGGAAAGATCTGTCTGAAATTAGCCCTGTCACCCCTGGGAGACATGAAGGTGGGGATGGGATAAGAAATTCTGATAAAGAAAGGATCCTTCACACACACACACACACACACACACACACATAAACACAACACAGACTTGCAGTTCTCTGTACCAGGCATCCAAAGTGATGATCCTTCGGCAGACAGAGCCAAACCGCCGCAGGGCTAGTTGAACCACCCAACATGATATCTGTCCACCTATCACATCGCAGCTCTCACCTGCAGCTTAACACTCCCATATTGTACACACACATAGCTCATACATATGCATAAGTAAATCCTCTCAGTATCAAAACGCACTCGCCTTCGCACCGAGAGTGTGTGCAGGTGCTCACCTTGCAGGCACATGCGCGCTCTAGCTGCAAGGAAATTGCTGCCTCCAGCAACATCTCTGTTTGACCCTGGGGGCCGACCTCCTGCCGCGTCGCTACCTCCAGCCACCCAACTGTAAAATTATATCCACAGACAGTCAGAGAGACAGGGACTGGGCCTGACGGAGCACTGGCCTGAGACCAGAGCCGGGAATCATCCCTAACATGCTTGAGCTAAAGCACCCGGCGGTACGCAGCGTGAGGGGAGCGAGTGCCGTATACCAGAACTGGAGAGTGCTTATTACACAACACTTAGAGAGACGCAGTTCACAGACGAGCTGATGCATGCAGCGCTGATCACACACACATATACACTAGGATGCTAATGCATATACACACACTCATAAATACCATGCTCTTCACTCTGCGAAAGCTTGCGTAACTCTAAGCTAAGTGAGAAGGGCCATACGTGTGATGATGATGATGATGTTGATGGTAGATTCTCAGCCACTCATCCCTCATGTCTGCACACACAGATGGATGGCCTTCTCCTTCTCCACAGAGCGAGCTACTTATATACCTCATAGCTCTCTTTGTCCCGCTCTTTGTCTTTCGCCATCACTGTAGATTTGAGACTTTCACACTTTTTGAAACTATATTCTTATTTATGTATGTGATTATGATTTAATCTAACTTACTTTTAAATAATTAAACAACAGTTCCAGTTCTTTAATCGGATTGGTCAAACTATTTCTTATATCAGTACTGGAGTTGTTAGAGCTTTATGTACATGAAATGTGTGTGTAATAATTTATACGTATAAAAAAATATGTTTTTGAGATTCAGAGTTTACGGAAAGCGAAAGAGAGAGTAAGAGGGGGGAAATAAGTAACCTGCAGACGTAGGTTGGCAGTGATGGGATGCACCTTACGAATATGTAGCATCTAATTCCTGCAGAAGGCAATTAGAGCTCGCCCAATTATTGTGCTGTGTTATAGATAGTGGCTGTTCTAACGAAGGCCGAAGTTTGGATTCTGACACCAGTGGCTCTCCCCACTGTAACTCTCCGGGGACACGAGCAGCCATGGAAGCAAAATAACCAGACCTGCCTGTAGATATGAGTAGGCTAAAGTGTCTGCTCTCTCTCTCTGTCTCACACACATACACACTGACATACATACTCATACATATAGAGTGTGTGCTGCTTTTAGTCAGAGCAATTTAAAACTCAAAAGCCTGCCTCGTCGCATCAAATCCCGCTTAAAATTCTTCCGCTTCTGTGCTGCAAACCCTTCAATGAAATATATAGCATGCTGGCCACTCTCACCATTATCATGACTGACACAGATCATGCTACAGGCAATGATCACAGTAGTCAGATATGCTACTACGAAAAACACCTCATCAGCTAAACACATTATTTTCTCTTGTATAAGTCTAAATCAGTAGTTCTCAACTGATGGATTGTTGACGTCAAAGGTCATGAAACACTACAGTGTTTTGGTACTAAATTGTTTGCCAAATTGATCATTTTGCATGACATTCACTCATCATATGTTTTGAATTGAGTTATTGGCTGCTAGTATTATTATTAATATGTAATTATTTTAATAATACCAGAATTATTCGATTATTATGCTTTTAGAGTTTTGTTATTTGTACCTAACACATGTACACTATGTTAGGTACAAATTCAAATTTCAATATAAATGACAAAAAAAATCTAAACTTCTTCAAACATATGTTTTGCACTAGGAATGATAACTTGTAGCTGTCTCCAAGTGTCTCTGGAAAAAGATGTGAGTGAACAAGACTACTTGGCTTGACGTCTGTCTCACCTTCTTTTTCCTTGTTTCTTCTTTTCTACCTCCCTCCCCATTTCTGCGTTTTAGTTTTACTTTCCTTACGTTTTTCTTTATTTTTCTTTCTCCCTCTCTCTCATTCATTCTCTCAAACTCCGTCCCTTCCTCATCTGCCTTTCGCTCTCTCTCTTCCTCTGACGGGGGGCATAAATCATCGTGCTGTCAGCGGCCGAGGCTCGCTGGATTATGCAACGCCGCCATTCATTTAGAGCCTGAGGAGAGGACCCGTCTGAGACCACACTCCACCCACCACTCTTGCCTCCCCAAAATAGAGAGCTAGTGTCTTAAAGAGAGCTCTCAGGGGGGTGATATCATTATGCAGTCTCTCTCTCTCTCTCTCTCTCTCTGTAGTTTGCCCTACTTTATTCCTAGATAGCGCCTC